GAGAGAGAGAGAGAGTGAGTGAGAGTTTTCACCTGGTCCTTATAGAGATACTCATTCATGATGTCCGAAAATGACCAGTTGAGGATTACACTCCTCAAATCAATTATCTCATGCTTCTTACTCTTCTTCTTCTTCTGTTTCTCAAATTCTATCACCTTGGTCTTCTCACTATTCTTCTTCTTCTCCACTTTATCCTTGTTATCAAATTGAATCACATCCTTCTTCGCACTCTTCTTTTTCACTTCAACATTATTCATATTGCCAATCTGAAGCACCACATCTGTCATCTTAACCTCAGAATAGCCTGGCAAGTAGAAAATTGGTAACAATATCAAATTGTAAAAATAAAAATATCAAAGAAACTCAGAAAAAACTATTTAAATAACAAATAAACTGTTGCTATCTACCTTTAAAAAAAAAAAACAAAATGATGCTGAAAATAACAGAGGTCAGGTTACCCCTCACTCAAAAGTCAATGTGAAGGAAAACTTGGTATGGTTAGGACCTCCTTGTTTTTCTTTTTTCTTTTGTTTCTTTTTGCCTTTTTTTTTTGGCAATCAAAAGTTCACAACCAATCTTTTCTTTTAACATGAAAAAAACTAAAGAACGCTGATTAATCATTCTGTCCTAAGCACACAATAGCTTCTAAGCAGTGAAAATAATAAAGAATAAAGAACAAGAATGTGCAAAGCAGTGAAAAAAAGATGAGAATCAATATAATAGTGCCTTTAAGGTACATGCATGGAGGGAGAGAGATTTGTACAGAGCAATGTGGGGTTTGAAGTAGGACTAAATTGGTCTATAGAAAGAAGGGAAACAAGACATTGGATAAGAGTTGCAGGCAGCTGAATCAACCGCATTAGAGAGAGACAATAAGTGCTCTTAACACTTACGCTCAGGCCAGATTAGTAATAGAAACAAAATTCAAAATAGTAAAATACACATTAAAAGATAAAAAAGAGATGTTGCTCCTACCTTTTGGGACGAGATATTGCATGTAACAAAATTGGAAAATGTATAATACCATTATACATACAATATAATGTTACAATAGAATGAAAGAACCACCACAAGAAATAAAAGGGAAAAACTGTTAACATAGGAAAATCACTTCTAGAGAAAAAGTAGCTGTAGAGAGAGAAAAGAGGCACGTATTCATTCAAACTAGCTAGAAAGAGTTTCATGATCGCTCTCAATTAATTTCTACTTTTTGTAGGGAGAGAATAATAAATGCCATAAGAGGTTTTAAAAATGGGCAAGTTGGTGAACCAAACCGGAACTGAGCGGTTTAGTTCATGAACCTGTTGATTGGGAACCGGCCAGTTCTACCACCTACTTGAATTTTGTAATATTTTTATTTTTTATTATCTAATTTTTTAAATTTGTATTGATTGGTCACTTGGCCTGACCTGAGACCCAACGGGTAGACCTAACCTAAGCCCTGATATGGGTCCGGAAATTAAACCTGACGGGTCGGGTTTGGGTCCAAGATACCCAAGTCTAGGTATGGGTCAAAAAATTGAACGTGACGGGTCGGGTTTGGGTTCGGGTCTGGGTCCAAATCTTAGACCTGAACACTATTTGGGTCCGGGCTAGGACCATGTAGGCCCATCCTAGACCTAACCTTAATGGTGCCGATATTTTAATACTATTTAATATATGATATTTAAATAATATTTAAGTAAGGAAAATGTTTATATAAAGTTGCAATTTTTTTCTTTGACAAGACATATAAGGTTGCAACCTTAAAAGGTAGAAAAGATGCACATCAAAAATCTAACAAAAAAAGTTATTTTAATGTTGAAAAACCTTCTAATTGATCATCTAGACATCCAAATGTATGAATATGAAAAAAAAATAAAAAACTTGAGTCTCAAAAATAATGCATCTTGCAACACATTATCTAGACCGTCCATTTTTTATATTTTTATCTAGACCGTCTATTTTTAATATTTTCATATGTTCATAGATTGATTTTAACTATTTTTAAAATTTAAAATTATAAAAAAAAAAATAGATTTTCAGATAAAGAATTAATTTATATAAGGATGCTACTTTATAATGTAGAACTACAGATGCCCCTTAAAAATCCATAGGAAAAGGTAATTTTAATGTTGAAAAACCCTTTGATTGATCATCTCGACATCGAGATGTATGACTATGAAAAATAAAAAGATTTTAGGTCTCAGAAATAGTGTATTTTACAACATATTATCTACACCATCCATTTTAAGATTTTCATATGTTTAATAAATCTACTTGATTTTAACCATTTTTTAAATTAAAATTTTATAATTAGATATAAAAATAGTATTTTGAGATAATCCTAAAGAC